AGAAAAGAATATATACATACATCGTCATTCTGTTATACGATCGTTCCATATTCTTTTTCTCAAGCATATTGAATAATACTGTTCTCAATTTTGTTTCCAATCAAATTACTGGTGAATAAATTCACCGATGCGACTTTTGACGGCTTCCCTTACTTCAGCTGACTAATACATATAGATTAAACTATATATGCGATGTTCTGGTCGAATGATCATTCATCATACACGTACAGTTCTGCATTTTTTTCTAAAGTAAAATATGCATTTACGACTAGTATAATGTTTTGATGTAACACAACGCCGACCACCAGCATAAAATATGGAAAAAGCAGGTATATGACAGTTATTTTACTTTAAAGATACTGAAAAAACGGCACATGATCGCCAGCATTTTGCTAGTTGTTGTTTTTCTTTCATGCCACGTGACAATATTTTATTGTCAAATTCATTTGCAAGCGCTTATAAATAATAGAAAAAGCGATCTATTGATTTTTCGCTGTTGATATGTAGTGGTCATTAGCCGCTCTTTCATTCAATTCGCTCAAATTGTTTTACGAAATATCTTCTGAGAATTATTCTGACCATATTGTAATGAAGAATTTTGATATCTACGGACTTGATATCGGCATACCTGTTGAGCAATGACTGAACTACCGGTTATTTATGTTAGAGAAATGTTATTCAGACACATTTGAAACAGAAGTTTTTGACTAATATAGTTCTAACTCGCAGTTAATTCGAAATCAACATTTTTCACTTTTCATTAGCGAATCGTTAAGAGACAATAGCTTTATTTTATCTCTTCTTTAACAACAGGCGAATTCACGCCTAAGAGCCGATCTAGACCGCTAAAATTAATTTTCTTAACAATTTCATTAAATATTTAATCGAAAATGATTTCAACAACGAATTATTAATCTTGGGAGTAATTATTAGCGAAAACTTTGCTTTGTTTGCTGTTGCTTGTTGAAATGAATTGTTTTTTTATGATCTGTGTATACGATTCAATGTTGGAACCTACGTTCTTCTTTTTACAGATAAATTTCGAATGGTCAGATGTACATGTTTAGGTTCCAGAACGCTTCATGCTTGTTTGAGGATTGTAATGTTTCCATTAGAAGTGTCCAAAACCAAGTATTTTGCCAAATTTAGTACTTTAAATAGAAAAATTGGGTTTTTATTGAGAAGCACCATACTCAAACGGATCAGAAAAAATCATTGTACATCTCCTGTTATCACCTCAAACGCATGTGTAAAAAGAAAATGTTTCTGATCGATTTTATACGAAACACATTGAGCTTAGGGTGTTTTTAATATGAAGAATAAGGAGCGATAAAAACTAGACTTTTTTCCTTCATTTTTAAATTCTAAAAAATGATATAAGGCAATTCTAATGCGATTGTAATCGTTATGTCCGTCCATGAGAGCTTTCTACTACAGAGAATCTATGTTGAATAGTTGTACATTGTATCGAATCAAATAGTGAACCAACTACCGAGCTACAAACCAGTCCCGATAAGATATACAGGACGTTTTCGTAAACTGATCGAGCTCAGCTATACACGCGATAGGATAATTCAGGAGGTAGATCTTCTTCAGTGGCTTATGTTGCCTCATTGTTAAGAACGCCATGCGATTTTGAACTCATCGTGTATTATTCTCGTCAAATTATAAATCGTAATATTCACTGGGACTAATCAGATATTTTCCTTCCACTTTGCTGACTTATTTAAGAAAATCCGATACGACGGCTGGCTTTTACACTAATGAAAATTCTCAGAGTGAGAAATCCCTTGTGACGTATTGATGAGCACAAATTGCATACTGGAAACACTGAACGGTAACTGACACAGCTTTTAGTGCCATTCATTAGTCGCTTATTTGTCTACTAACATGACCATATTTTAATTATTGTTAGTTGAGTCAGTGATCGTCGCCGTTGTTATCGTCAGTCTATTTGGACAAAATCAATGTTACAGTCAAGAACACACAACAGATGAACATGATATGTTATTAGGTAAGAACACAAGCATGGTGTGGCAAAGATTCCTATCCCTTCTCATTTAGCTCAATTACGATCAATCTTATTGGATCGCAATGACGAAATGGTGTTAAAGACATATGATCAAATGGATTACAATCGTCGGGGATCAGGTTCTGTTACCCTACGGGGTTTCTTTCTAATCACTGAAAGCGATATATCCTTGATATATTGTCGTATTTTCTAGCTCCGTTGCATCACCTCGATTCTGACTATCGTACAAAGTCTATTAACGGTTTGAATAGTGCTAAACATGAACAAAGTTCATCAGAAGCGTGGGAATTGAGTGGTATTCACAGGTAGCTCTCAAGGACTAAAATTCAATACTTTCGTCTTCTATTGTCCAGTGATGTAACCGCATAGGCTTACAAATAATAAAGCAAGATGGCATCAGATGAAGCAGTTAGTAAAGGAAATCATTGAACTTAATTTTCAATCATATGAAAGCGATGATAATCTACTTTATGATATACATACAAATCCGAAATACAGAGTTGATTGCTATCCTGATGGAGGTACGTTAACGAATGCTATTGAGTCTCATCTACAAAAAAAATTATAAAACTTTTGCAGGTGTGACCGAAGAAAAAGTACCTTATTTTAGTGTTATATCTCCTTTGGTTAACAAAACCATTGCTATCCTTTTGACCCTAGCAGAAATAATCGACAACCAATACGAAGTAATCTGATTCCTTTGACCTCGTACGAGCTAACATTTAGGCACTAGACGTTTCGTAAATCGTTTTCTTCTTTTCTTTTTCTTTTTTATTTATTGACAACAAAAAAAAAACAATAAAAGATGTTACATGAATTGTGTCAAAGGGGGTACATTAAAAAGCATGAGAGCCAGTAACAACAACTAGACGTTTCGCAAATCGTTTGATCCTCATCAGTAGGAAATTAAGAAATAAACTGATGAAAATTCGCATCAACCAAACGAAACAGGTTGAAATAATAAGTATTGTACAAATAGCAACTATAATAAAATTGAGAATAATGTGAGTATGTACAGCAGATGTTAAAACTGTTTCATGACGAGTAAGAGCAGCAATAGTCTTCTACTTACGAGATAATTTCGTGGTTAGTGGAAAAGAAAATGAAGAATCTTTGACGCACGTATTAGCCGTGAAAAAGATTATGTAGATCGGGATAGATCAAAGGAAACCAATCAAAAGAACATCATTATTTTTTCAAAGAAGACTCACGTCTATTAAAGAAACAGACATTTTCTCGTGGACAAGTGCTCCTATGCTAACTTGCTATGCTAAACTGATGCCCGAGCAGATGCTCACCAGACGCTCTAAACAGAAACACTAAGATAGTTTGTAAAATTTATTTTAACTAACGTGGATTTTGGGAACAACATATAGAAAACCATCGTGAAGACGTAATGAGGCAGTTTTCGATGTGTTAGGAATTGTGAAGGCATTTTAACTAAAGAAAATGATACATTACTCGAAATTTCTTCGAAATATAGACGCTGGATCTCAAAGCAATGTCGGTTTTCAGGAACAGGCGAAACTTTGCTTAGATGAAACAACTGATTTCAGGCTGATTTCATGAAGATCTATAAGTCGGATTTATCGATCAACATGTCACTGTCACTGGGAGACCCCATGTGAGGTTACTGCTATGTTTTGTTGAATCTATCTTCACTCGATTTTGATTTGTAAGCTGATATAAAGTTACAGTTTGTAATAGCTTCCTTATTCAGCATTTCAGGGGAGGCAATGTTTGTCATACACTCAACTACAACTTCTAGCTAACTCAATAAAAATAAAAATAAGATAAATATGTCAATTTGGTACATACACTTAGTTGATTAAGGTTAATAATCGCCACGTTAGTCGCTGATGACGAATATTTCTGTTCGTAAGCTTCGATATTTGATAATATCAACATCTGCACATTTTGAAATGGTTCAACATATGAAGTCCAATAGTCATTACTTATAAGTCAAAGAAATAAATTGATTCTGTATGTGTGTATGATGCAAAGTTTGAATTAGCATTACTGGAAGCTGCTACAAAAATTTTTGGGCTATTAAGGAAAAGAGAAAAAAAATAGCCTTAAAGAACAGCCCAAGAATTTATATATTCCTTTTTTTCTTCTCCTTCTTTCTCGTCTCTATCAGTTTGCAAACTAATTAATTTTTTATACATTTTTGATTTCCCATTTTGCAAGCTAATTAATTTAGAACAAAATATAGATTTCTCCGAATGTCTCCGATATCTATATGATATTTTGATTTTAGAACATGGATTTTCTAATTTGCTCGAAACTTTCATACATTTTTAACACCATTGTTATTTTAAACTAGCAAATTAAAACAGTCATATCCTCAAAATAAAATATCATACAGATCTAGGAGACGTCTCATTCTGATAAGAATTATTACAATCGCCGATGGTATATACTTTCATATTTTTTCGTTCACTTTCAGAAGAAAAGTAAAAGAAATATGCATCAACATTAGCGGCTTCAAAAATATTTGCATTATTGGAATACTGATGTGAGGCGAACTTCCACTACCCATCATAATTTGAAGTAAGAGTGTTTGCATGATTATCGAACTTTTCCCAGAAGGATCTTTTCGTTTTCTGGAGAGCTTCGATTTTATTATTTTAATATTCTTGTTTTGAATGTCTAAAAATAAGTTTTTATGTTTTTAAATCCTCTCAGAATGATAACAACAATTATTCAATTCTTGTTTACTGTTTTAATTTTGTTTCTTACCATCCGCGAAGGACATGCAGTATTGCTGTAAGTGAACTTTTGCTATTTTCAAACAGTAAATGGCATTAAGCAATTTGCTATGATTTTCTAGCATTAGAAGAAGTCTTTACTTAGAAATTCTAATGGCTGATCGTTGCATTTCATGATCGTCAGTTACAAAATAAGGCGAAATAAAGATATTATTCGTGTGTAGCATCCTGCAGCTTGATTTCATAACAAACCAGGTGGAAAAAATTTTGAAAAAAACTGCATCGTCGTGTAAAAAGATTATTTGTCATGTTGCGTCATGAATCTGGAATGCATCATGAAATTCTGCAAACATCCTTTTTCCATAATTGCATCGAACAGCTCCGTGATCATCTTTTTTCAAAAAAACGTTTTAACTAGCAGGACAAAAGAGAACTAATCTGCAACTGATCAATAAAAAGGTTGTAAAACTAAAATGTTCCAAACTAATATTAGATGTCTTATAGGAGGAAGAGTAACATTTCTGATTTGAGCAAATTTGGTCTTGCAATAAAAGCACAATGTGATTGCACGAATTTTACATTCGCCTCGTTCACGGGACGTAATGAATGTAAATGAAGTAAGATATAGCTTGAAAAACCGAATAATGATCACTTAGTCGTAACTTGTTGATGCATGTTATTCTGTCAGAATTTTATGCTCGTTAAGCCACTTGAATGAAAAACTTCTAAATCTGAAAATTAGGATGGTGTCAAGTTCCACAGTTTCGTGAAAACTCCAGAATTCAACACAATTCAACCTGTCACTGTTCACTCTCATGTCCCTTCGCCTCGCTTTTACACTCTGTCTACGAATTGACAGATTCTGATCCAATTCTGGTTAGATTCTGATGGAATTCGAATTCTGATTCTATATACACTAAAATAATGTGTCGCAAATTGCGACATAATCATCGACACCAGGAGCCACTTGCGAAACATTTTTTCCATTGAGGCTGCGACACATTTCGCTGAGTATTTCGCTATAAAGAAAACAGTGCAAATTGGATATTTTTGAACTCTTATTTTAAAAATAAAGAATATTTTAAGAATCTCTTATTTTAAGGTTTTAAGAATATTTTTAGTTCGTTTTGGGTGCACTATGTAATGTCGACGAGCTCAGTCCGTCCGTAATATTCGCAGGTCTTCGAAATATTCAGTTTCCCAGATCTGAGATTAATAGCGTAGTCAAGGCCTCGGATAGGTTGGTTTTCGTCAGAGAAAAAATGTTTAAAAGATTTAGACAGGGATCTTTATCCACGAATAATATCAATGCAAAATTGAAAGAACTTAAAAAGCCCGAAAACATTCTTATCTTTTTCATATTAGCGCAACCTATAGCACATCAAAATTGAAGAGAAGCCGGGAAAAATCCTAATGAAGACTATTGAAAATACTAAAACATAAAATTTAGCAAGTTTTTGATAGAATAGACCCTCAAATGGTCTCAACAACTGTGTCTAACAGTTCTTAGTAACGGCGATACGTTTTACTATAACACAAAATGCGACACAATATTTTTTACTGTGCACTAGAATCTGCTAATTCGTAGAAAGAATCTAAATGCGAACTAGTATAACTCTATATTCATTGTCTCTATGAATTAGCAGACTCCCATTATGCAGTAATTCTGGTCAGATTCTAGTAGATTCAGAATTCGAACTCTATTAGAATCTAAGCTGAATCTGATCAGAATCCAATTGAATCTGTGAAGTTCTGTCAATGCTAGAAATTTCCATAGTATTCTGGAACTGTCGATTTTTAAAATACTGAAGTAAACCTAAGAATAAATCGTTAAAAAGCAAAGCTAAAAGTAAACGATATTTGTTCAATTAATAGGCAGTTTATGCAGCCTTTTGTGTTCTTTCTTTTAACGCATTTGAATTCAGGATAGCTTTGAGCTTGAATTAGTTCACTTTTTTAAAATGTAATGATTCAGTTTTCAAATTTAAATTTTGAAGTTTAAAAAGTGCAAACTGTTAAACAATCTTTTTCTAAACTAAAGTCAAGAGTTTGCTATTGCTGAAACGTTAAACAAAATCATAGTAAAAGTAGAAAGAAATTGTACCGAAAGTTTTTTATTTTAAAAAGTTCTATTTAAAAACGATGAAGACAATAGACTAAAAGTTTCAGATCAATATCAAGCAAAGTTGGTACATTGACCTATCGAATGATGAAAAGCCTATCTCTCCACAGTCTTTCGTTACAGAGAAAACCGAGGCGAAACAATTTTGTTTTTGGTGTCCAAATAATCTTTTTACCTACTGTGTACAACGATTTGATGCCAATAGGAAAGTAAAAGTGGTTCCACAGCAAATGTAAAACAACGCATATTTTAATTTCGTCAGAAGTTGGAAAAGACTGAAGACAGAAAATTAAAGCAATGCAGAAAAAGAAAATGTTTCTTTTAAGGTTAAACAAATTCAAAATCGGAGTACTTTTTATTTTTTACATAGGTAGATGCAGCTCGTCGAACTGAATCTAACCATATATTTTTTTTTAAGAAAAAGGTATTTTTTTACGTCAGAACAGGCAAAAAGCTGACCAGAGCCAGTGTTCAGA